ACACCTCACAGAGTGACAGAAGTTCCCACTGTTACATATACAAGACACGAAAACTTTACACTCCGAGCACAAGGCAGGACACACAACAGGGAGAGGATACTATACATTAAGTCTACATAAGAATTAATCTGTTCTGTCACTACAGCATATTAAACATTTAGGCAGTATAGCGCTCCTTGGGCTGCAGCTACAGATAAGAGTCCAGCAATGCATTTAAGCAAAATACTAATAATGTAGTTGCACTAAGAAGGATGAGCCTGCATGAAATGACTCTCAGCATTATGGAGCATGAACACAGCTGCTGAGGCTGAAGTCTTGTCTACAATATGACTGCAGTGTGTGATGCGGCACACTGCAATTTAACTGTCGATTAGACTGTGATTACAAAGAAGATGCATGCACCTTATTACCTACACTGAGGTTATGTTTTCAGTCCCATTTGTTGGTTTGTTTGTCTGTTACTGAGCATATCACAAAATGTGTTTACAAATTTTAATGGAATTTGATGAAAGTTGAAGCCATGGCCTGGTGCAGATCGTCTGCATGCACACTGGCAGATTATAAAAAGATTTCTTAACACCACAGGAAAGGCAATTAATTGAATATTTGGCACAAACTACTGCTCTTGCTTGTAGAAAAAGTCTAGCACATGCATCCAGTGATTACCTATCTCTGTGTATTCTGCTGCAGAGCTGGCCATTTTAATAACAAATCTGGAGGATTGTGCAGACTTGATGGAGGTGTGTATACTCGGGCCCAATCCCAATGTCCTCCCTAAGGTCCCTAAGCACTGAACCTTCAAAGACTTTAGTGACATCACCTGTGAGAGTCTGCAAGGGCTGGAAATTGTATAAATGGGACAGGACTTTGTGACTTAGGCTATCACATCACCATGACGACAGCAAAATGATGCTACGCTTCTAACTGTTGTGGGTTTAGAGCGTTTTGCTTATTTTTTTTTTACTTTCTTCACAGCCAAGACACTTCAGGGACCAAGTGGCTGATTTGAACGTGACCCAGGCTCTTGCCTTACAGAGTGGACAAGGGGCAGTTGTCAATGATTGTACCGGATCAATTGAATATATTTGTGTGTGTGTGTGTGTGTGTGTGTGTCACACACATATTTTTGTCGAAATGGAAACATTAGGCAAAAAAGAAAAATAGTTGATGAATGAGACAGGTGGATATAATCAGATGTTTATGTTACAGTATTTAGCAAATGTTTTTGTCCATTGCAACATACAACAATATCAAAAGATAGTTCGTTTACTGTTTGCCTTCTTTATTTTATTTTATCTCCATCTTATGGCATTTGTTTACCTTCCAGCCTCCCCGGGCACAGTAGGCTAATCCCATGTTTCACGTCACAACGCAGTGAACTGTGGGTAAAGTCTGCAGAAATGCCGACTTACAGAAAGCATAAAATGCTCAAAATTGAGGAGAGAGAGCCCTCGTGCACTTGATTTCACATAGTGAGGGCTCAGGGCTATCACAAACTCATTGGGGAAGCATCCCAAAGTCTGAGTGTGGACATCGGGATTGGGATTACTCTATAGTTTTACTTGTTTAATTTACTGACTTCTCACATTTTCTGCAAAGTGCTTTAGCTCTTAGACTTCTGGGGTGCTGCCCTGGACGTCCCTGCTTCATATATCGAACATTAAGCCACATAGAATAAATATTAAAGGGGCCTTTGAAGTGGGCACTTCTTAGCAGAGCTCATGGACAAGATGATAAAACCTTGTTCCCTGTTCTCTCTGGTAAAATGTCATGAACCCAATTCTGCTTCAAAATGGCCTTATTTTCCACTGTCTGTCTTCAACACCTTTGTGATAGCTAACGATGCTAAGGGCTTTATAGTAACAAATTCACAAACTAGCTCTTGCTGTCCTTTTAGTATCATTAGATGAACTCTTGAGTCAGAGAAGCATTATTTTACTGCAAATTGGACCTTGGTTTTTCTATGCTCACTTTAAAACCTAGATTTGCATCTAACAATTAAATATAAACATTGTACAATAATATTTTATTCATTATTCTGGGTCCTTCAAACTTCAGTCTAGACAGAACTGATCCAGACAGGACCACACCGGTGTTAAGGTGCAGAGAGACCAAAATCCATCTGATGAAAGTTGCTTGTGTGATGCGACCAAAAGAATCAGAATCAGCTTTACTGGCCTGGTGTGTTGGACACATGAGGCATTTGACTCTGGTACAGGGGATAAGATACAAGTTACATTCAAACTACAGTGACTCAAATCTGATTTATTTGCATCCAAGTGACATCTTTTCAAGGATGCGTGAACAAAACAAATCCGATTTTTTCAGAGCAGATGTGGCCCACTTGTATATGTACTACTAGATCTGATTCATATCTGACCATGTGACCACAGTCAGATCAGAATTCACGCGTTTTGTCAATGCCTCACTCCTCATCATCATTAAGTGTCAAGTTTCACAGACTATTAAAAATAAACATGCAGGAGAGCAACAACAGCGACAGGTGTCAGTAGAAAGACAAGGACGTTTCACATAGAAGCTTCTGATCAAGCCAAACTGAAAGAACATATCATAACTGAGCAGTTTGTGAGGAAATTGTGCGGCTAGTTCGTCGAACAGAAAAAGATCTAAACTGACAAAGAAGTTGGAATTGAGCATTAGAGCTTGTGATGTGAACACAGAGATAGTGTAGATAGGGTTGGAAACATAACCTGCATGACATACTGCAGCATGGCTAGTGGGTTAACAACAGCAGTTCACAGAATTGTGGATTAAACAGCATTTATTTCCCCAAACATTTTACTGTTATCAACCACTGTTCAAATCTTTACACTCACCACAGGCAGACTGCATTATCTCTTACCTGCTGCTTGTATTGTTTCACTGTGCTGTTTTAAAAACAAGAATATAAACAAATATTACTTCCTGAATGAGAGATCAGTCTCACCCCCTCTCTCAACCCGGCTGGACATCGAAGAACCTTGTGATTTCATGGGTCAAAGTTAAGGCCAGTTCTCATATCACAGATAATCAAGTATCCATCAAAAGGCTTTCACAATAGTCAGCTGTAGTGCAACATCAGGTGACAACAAAACTTCAGCAACGTATCTGCAAGTTCATTTTCACATAATACTGACTTGGACTGACACTAACTCTGTCTGGATGGTATGAAATCATCTAAAAAGAAATGCCTTCCAAAGAATACTAGTTATGTAACATCTACCCAGTTTGCAGTTAATGCAAAACACAAAAGACTATAATACATGAAAACTAATGCATGAATATTTAACCCTAAACATGATCCACTCCATAGAGCCCACATCTTGAGGGCCTCGCAAGGCAGATGTATCTGAATGTGTCATTAGGTCACAGCTGGATTTATACCACTTGATGGCCTCTCAAGTTGGACAGATCAGTGAGATGAGATTAATGTGTGGGGTGGAACCAGGTTGCCAAAGGCAACATACATCAAGGCAAAGAAAATCAAATAAATCTCTTTCTAAGTTAATAAGAAATTTACAAGTGGGTCTCATAGGTTTCAACACCATTATGCTGCTTAGTATTTGAGTTAATCGGAGCCCCGGATGTGCATTTTCTTCAACATATAATGGTTTGACACACTGACTAAAAATACTGGAGGTGTGGCAAGAGGTGAAGCTTCTGACAAAGTCTAAGACTGAAATAGGACTCATCTGTTTATGTGATGATGCAATGTGAAAACTACATGAGCAGCCATATGGACGCCAATAATGTTTCCTTTTTTTTGGTTCTTGTGGTTTCTGAGGAAACAACTCCAAATCGTTAGAATGGTCATCTTTATATGAATGATCACTATGATAGGTCACTGTTATCTCCTCACTACTGTGCACTGAATCAGCAATGACGGCAAAATTCCCTACTGATATCTTTCGTTAAACACACACACACCTCAACACCACCGCCCACCCCTCCAGCTGTAGGCGATCTGCGCACTGGTCGCCCACAGGGCGGTGGCTGCGCAAGCATGTCCAAGAGCGGGACGGTCTGTGGGGAGTTGAGGAGTCGTCACAAGGAGACACTGGTGCCTGGCTGCAGCGGCATCACACGCACAAGCTTAACTGCATCTGATCCCAGCTGCCCAACTTTGACTGAGCAACTACATGGCTTGCACGGTCAGTAATGCATGCCAACACTTGGGAAATACGTCCATACACACGCACACACCATTCTACCTACACGAAAACACAGTGCGGAAATTGGCCGTGCTGGAGACAAAAGCTCAAGTCTGATACAGTCAAGATTTCTCTTTGGAAAATTTACTATTTCAAGTCATGTGTGGAAAAACGCCCAAAGAGACTTGATCCACTCAGTGGCATCGGTCTCACAACAAGGCGCACGCCACCAGCTGCTGCAACCTTTTGTGAGCTTGAGAGGACATAACTAGATCCACTGACAAACAGGGGGCCACTGCGGGCGACCCAGCTGCAGCCTGATGTTTTATCTACCACTTAGAAGGGAGGGCAACGTCCAAGTTGTCTCAGACACAAAAACTTGTGCAGCCGCATTCTGCTTTTCATTGCGCTGCACAAGTCAACTTCCAGGCATTC